GGGGGCCTTCGCGCCGCCCGCGGGGCACCCGGAGCCGGCGCAGCCCGGCCGTGCAGGCGCGGTCAGCGCGGGGTGGGAAGCGCTGGGTATTAATCGGGTGTGAACGGGTGCTCTAGTGAGCTGGTGGGTTTGGGGCGCTGAATGGTGACACACGATAGGCACGTGCCAACTGGAGGTATTAACCGAGCTAATTATACTCCTGCAATTCCTGTGTGTAAGCAGAGCCAAGGTAGAGCTGGATACTTTGCAAACGTCTGGCAGCAAAGGCAACCTGGCGCTGGAGCGGTGCCAGGCCCGGCCGGCACAAGGGAGCGTTGGCAGCGCAGACCGGCCAGCTAGAAATGTGGAAAAGTGCCCCCGTGGCCAGCAGACGTTGTCGATAATCCAGCGCCGTCGTGCTGAGGACTGGGAGTTGACAGTATAGCTTTAGCAGCAAATGCTTTCAAGTGTGGACAAGGCTGAATGCTTGACAGCCTGTCTAGGGATACCGACCTCCCCTTGGCTGGGACTGGATCGTGTTGTGCTAAATGCTTTTTAAATGTCTAAGTGCCAAGGGGCAACCTTGGAAGTAAGTACAACCCACCCAAAAGAGCTCGTAGCCATCCTCAGAGACAACACTCGTGCCTAAATTAAACCTTAAGTTCACTGTATGTTTTTCTCCTGATACGCATTTCCTTCGGTGTCATGCTGTGGGCACACAGCAGCCCTGAAGGTCTTACCAAAACACCGCTCCAACACAGATTTTTCTGTGATTTGCTGCCTCTCTGACCTGCTCAGACTCCAAATTGCCATGTATACGGACCAGAACCCCCAAAAGTGGATTAAAATTACAGCAGGCACAACACTCGGCCTCCTACAGATGGAGGTACCAACACAGACAACTGTCAGGTAACGGTTTTGAGACAAACTCTGCATTCCTGGCCTTTCTGATGGCCTGGTAGCTGCACTTGCTATCTGTTAGTCAAGAAAGACCAGCTTTCTCCTATCAGGAGACATGAGCCAGTCTTTTTATGATGACAAGTGGTAAAATGTTGCCATGAGCAGAAATGTGTAGGCAGGAATGTTTGATGACATAATTGCTACTGTGGACTGAGATTACTTATTAAAACTGGCAAAAGGGCAACAATGAGCTTTTAATTGGAAGGATCAGAATTTCTTGTGCTCTCGGAAATAAACCAGGTCAGAACAGGCAAAAAAGAAAAAAAAAAAAATTGACTTTTAACTGGGATACTTTACAAATGAAAATGGCAACATTGCTGAGAACAAGAAATGCCAGGACTGTGGGGGAAGGAGTTGCCAAGCTACTGCGCAGAGTAAGCTCAGATTTGTTCAGTGGTGCAGCTGGTTCTTTTCCTTATTTAACAACTATTTTGCCCTTGAAAAACAAAATTTAAAGTAATGGAATCCCAAAGGGCAAGTGCCTGGGCAGGATGTTATTTGGACTAGATGATCTTTAAAGGTCCCTTCCAACCCAAACCATTCTATGATCCTATGATTTACCATCACTAGGAGGCAAGCCAAGCCTAGGCAGGGCCTACGCAGCTCTCCTGCTATAGGTATCAATGGAATGAGTTTAAAAAAATGAAAATAAAAAGGCAGAAGAGCACCTCAGCGCCCAGGAATTCACCTTTGACTAGCTGCCATTTAGCTGCTGTCCCACCTGCCAAACGGTGCCCTTTACAAAGTTGCTTACCTGAAGCTGCATTAGGGCTACCTGGTACAATTAAGGAATGGAAAATTTTCACTAGGGGGAAGAAAAAAAAAAAAAAAAGCCAGCAGTAACTACCCAGCTCGACTGCTCAGTGTGAGTATGGTTGGTCTGTCAGAGAAGCTCCAAAGGAAAGAGGCCAAACACTGCCTTTTGGGCAGTGGTCTCAGGACCATTCCCATCAGATCTGGAGCACAGCGTGACACCATGAAGCCAGGCTGATACCAGAGGGAGGGAAAAGTCTCAACCTGATAGCAAAGAAGATAGGGCAAAAAACTGCCAGCTAGGATTAATCCTTTCTGGCCAGGGAAAGCTGAGCACTGCAGCTGGGGCACGGGAAGAGGCAGCGTGGCTCTGGCTGGACCACAGCACAAGCCACGGCGCTGGCTCCAAAGGCAGACTGGGTTAGCATCCCTGTCTGCCCACTGTATGTGGCTAGTCTTTTTTTGTTTTTCCACTTTTATGTTGTGAGATATGCAGCTATAAAGGGAAATAAAAGAATAAGCACTTTTAAACTGATATGCCTCCATCCCCTTTGAAGCCGCGTTGGCTGTGTGAGGAGGCCGGGGGAGTGGGACTTCCCCCACAGGCAGCAGCTGCCTTTGCTGCTCTCTGACCTGGCTGTCCCCTTGGGGCCCGTCCCCTTGCCAAGGCGGCACGTCCTCACACTCTGGGAGCCTCCTGGCCCTCTCTGCACGCTGAGCCTTTCTTGGCCCTGTGAGGCCAGCAAGGGACTTCAGCCACAATGGCTTCACCTCCACAATATAAGTACCTGCAGAGTGTCCACCCAGCAATAACCTTGCTGCAGAGGCCAGGGCTTGCCCATGTTATTCCCGGTGTGGTCCGTGCTGAGCCAGTTGTTCTCTCTCTCTCTCTCTCCCTCCTCCTGTCTACCCAGCTTGTAGGTAAGCTCACTGAGCACCCGAAAGGGTCACTTGGTGCCTTACATGTGGCAGGCAGAGAAGTGGAGCCCACAGAGGCAGTCAGTGGGGAGTGTTTGTTCCCTTGCATTTTCCCTGGGTCGCTTGTAAAGGGTTTGGGCTAAGAACACGACATCAAATGGGGAGGGAAGCCCCAACTGTTCTCGGACAAGGGGAAAGAAGGTACATGCACTACGTGCTTGTGCTTATGTACAAGTATTCTGGCAACTGCTGTTTTCGGTGAGAGCAGATCACTGCATCTGAAGCCACACACAGACTAGGGGTTTGTGCTGTGCGCGTGGCAGTGCCTGGTGAGTGCTCAGTGAGCGGCACATCCGTGTGGTGCAGCTTCGTCACCAGCTGCAGTTTAGCGGCACAGCCAAAGCATTCTGGCTGCAGCGCAGGCAGGTGCTCGCTGCCCGCTTCCCAGCTGGCTGGCTTCCTAACGTGCAGTGGTTAGCACAGCGTCCTTCCTCCCCAAACGCACCTGCGTATGAGCAGGTGCATGCTTGGCCACATGGCCTTGCTATCCTGGGCCCTGGCAGCGATGCAAAGCGTCCCGATGCCAGCGGTGCTGGCACGTGCACGCGTGCACGCATCTGTGCACGTGTGCTGCCTCGCAAGGGCAGGAGCTCGCTTCAACCTTGGATTTGCATCGAGTAGGGCTGCCCAACAGCAGAGCCAAGAAAGGCTCCACCAGCCTCAGGTCACCCCAGGGGTGAAGCACTGGGGTAGGAACCAGCCGGGTGAGGGGGAAACACCATTTTGCATCTGGCACCTGCTCAGGTGCCGGTCTGGCCTGGCAGGAAACGCCACGTGTGGCTGAGCTCCAGCAAAGTCAGCGAGGAGTCGGTAAGAAGGTGTGCATAGTCACGTCGGGGAAAAGCTCATCAGGCTGTCTGCCACACGCTCCCACCCATGGTGGGAGCACACGCTGGTCAGGGCAGATTTGGCTTCCTCAGGAAGGATGGACAGGCCATGGGGCCCTGGCCCGTGTAGTTCTGCCCTTTACACTGGCCTTTCCCTTTCACGCTTGTGCTGTTTGCAGGTGCTGCTCTCTCTAGGAGCCAGCACC